TGAAATCACTTCAATGAGACAAAATATCATTCGTATTTCATGACTAACGCCGTTATACCGATGCAGTTCCCGTAGCCCTGATGAACGAACGCCGTGTAATGCAAGCCACCTCGCAAGGTCGGGCTTGGGGTATCATGTAATGTCATATCGAGAGGAAGACCGGCCGTGGGATCATTAGTTCGCAATCTCTAAAAGCAGTTCCTAGACGACTATTAGCAGACATCGTTGCAACGTCCACTAATGAAACTCACTCAGCGCTATCCTGTGCGGATCGCCTCAGTTTACGGTTATAGAGCTTCTTTTCGTCGGGAGTGCCCCAGAACAGCTTCGCAGCCTCGGGATTGACCAGTGTGCGTGGGTCGTATGCAGGTGACTCCTCCTCGATAGCCGCAATGATGGCCTCAATATGTGAGCGCATATCGTCCTTACGGGCAGCATCGTAGCAGAGTATGCCATCGGGCGATACGCGGTGGTGGTAGAGAACCGGTGTCTATCAAATTGTCAGCTTGTCCTGAGGCATACGTTGCGAGATAATTCGACCACAGCGTCTCCATGTAAGAACCGGGCGGATACATACTAGACATCAGTTAGCGGAGAAATCTCAAAAAGCACGCGTGATGGCTACGTTACCCTCAAATCTAACACGCGGTAAAACCTCTGGGAATTTGGGGCTAATGTATAGCATAATCCGGAACATGCCGCCGTCGAGGTTCGTCATAGGTCTCCCGAACAGGACAAGCTGCCATACGAATGGGTTCTTATCGACAAGATCAAGATCCAGAGTAACGGCGTCTTGCTTCTTGTACTTCTCGATGATTTGCTCATATTGGCGTTGGAGGTTGTTGGCAATACTCATCTCTTTGCTGACAGCCATCATGCCCTCAGCGGCCCATGCCTCCATTTCCTTGTTGAGCGTCTCGAAGATCTTGACCAGGCGCTCGCGGAGCTGTGTGTACTGGAATGTGCCCTCCATCGCGTTGCCCGGGCCCTCGAACGGCATCTTCTCGAAGCGGTCCCCATCCTTGTTCTTCTTCACTGCCTCGTCCACGCGAGCTAGATACGATTGGTAGTACCACAGGAAGCGTCGCTTGCAGAGGTCCTTGAAGGGCTCAAAGGGCGCGTCGTCCCTGCTCGACTGGTAGTCCTCTTCCGCGTTGTAGACCGTCACGCCAGACCTCCCCCAATTGATGCCTAGGTATTCTTCCAGGCGATCGATGACAGATATGCGCAGCGACTCGTGTCGGATCTTGTCTACGTATGCCTCCTGGTTCTTCTTGTCGTAGTCCGAATTTGCGTCCTCGAAGCCAGGCTCGTTCTCGTACGGGTTGCTCGACATAAGGCTCTGGATGGAGATGAGGATAGACTCGAGGCCCTGGGCAGACGACCATTCTTCACCACGTTCTCCTCGCCATGTACTGCATTCTGTTAGCATAGACTCAGCCTTGGAGGTATCTGATGCGATTTGTCTCGTCTTTTGACACAATAAACGTGTTCATATGCTTCAGGGCTGCCGTATTTTGCTTTGTTTCAAGACAGCCTAGAGGCATTCGATACGTTTTGTTTTGTCTCTTGACAGAACATACACCTTCGTATGCTTCAAGCTCACTTACCCAAGAATCGATAGGCACACCTTGCCGCCCGCGTATATATTGGGATTGAATCGCGTACGCCCACCATGGGTAGTTATAGCCGTGACACTCGGAGCCTTAGTAGGGTATTCGCGCGCAAACTTAACAGCGAACTCGAAGAAGCCGAACTCGTAGGGGGTGTCAGGTGGGCCTATGATTAGCGCCCGCACATGGCGCACGTCAATATCGCGGCAGGCAACGGCTATGGAGAGGTCGGAGCCGCGCTGGATCTCGCCGAGTTCGCGGGTGATTCTAAGAATGCTCTGGTTGGACATGATGGTGTGTGGAGGCCTCCCGGCAGCGGTTTGGATAGTTGAGATTCGCGGGGTTGGTGAAGCTCAACGGTCCGCGTTGGCCGGGCTGAGAATATTGAGCGGGTGTGGGTGCCGTGGTGTGGGGAGTCTTGAGGAGAAGCAGTGGTAGGAGTGAGCGGGCCTCAACCGTGTGAATGGCCAAGCAAACACCGATGTGAGCTGTCAAAGGTGAGTGGGTAGTTGGCTGCGGTGTGCAACTAGCCCCTCCCAGGGTCCCACAGGGCGGAACGCGAGCCGCAACACCACGCCGCCGAAAGTCGCGATAGTCTGTTCCTTGCGCACCGATCGTCAAGATGTAATAAGCAAGCCGAGTGTGTTCTTAGGTTGTCGGCTAACACTATAGTGTAGGGTGGTGTTCGCGCTGTTCGTCATCAGCAAGTCTGGCGGTCTCATCTACAATCGCGAGTTCCACGCGGGCATGAGCAAGCTCACCAGCAATGACTATCTCATGCTCGCTGGATCTTTTCACGGGTAAATCGCAATGTTCTGGGCGTATAAACTTCTACTGATGAGCGTCTAGAATGCACGCCATCACAGCGCAGCTCTCTCCAGTCCCACCCGTCCGCGCGCCGCCTCCCTCTACCACCACACCGAATCTCCAGACCTTCCCTGTCCGCGCAACCGGTATCGAGGTCCTCGAAAGCTCACACTTCCGCATACAATGTTTCCAAACACAGACCGGTGTCAAGTTCTTGCTCTTCACTGAGCCCCAGCAACCGAATGTCGACACTATGATGAAGAGGATATATGAATTGTATGCGGATTACGTCATGAAGAATCCGTTCTATACCGTTGAGATGCCGATTCGGTGCGAGAAGTTCGATCGGGGGCTGGATAGCTTTGTCAAAGTCAGAGGGGGTTGAGGCCGCATTGGGAATATGATACCACGAATCGGAATGAAGAGAAACAAAGCGGGGCGCGTGTTGAACAGCACGAGGAGCGTTCTGCTGCGGCATGCATTGCCACTGGTTGCAGTTCGGGAGCACACTAGAGACTCTCGTACCAAAGCTCCAGGGCATCACTCTTGGGTCCGTAACATGTATGATAGTGTCGGGTTTGGGGACGAAGAGAGACCACCCACCAGGGAAGCCAAGTTGTGAGAGATGTGCTGTAGAAGATAGTACTGTCTCCAGTACCTATCAATGTAGACTAATGTTCATTATTTGCTTCATTTCATCCATGCCATGCGGTAGACGCCAGCTCTAGTCATACAGTAGACGCCGTGAATACTCCTGCTCCACCGTGAAGCTTCAAAGGCGTTCCTCTTCCTAGCTGCGCTATGTCCGCTTACGCCGTGTCCATCTTGTCTGGGTCGTCGTCCTTCTTGTCCTTGCTGCCGCTTCCACCAGGCTGGCCCGAGCTGTCCAGCAGCGGCTGCTTCTCGTCACCCTCAGCCACCGGCTCGAGCTCCGACTTGCCCTCGGCCGCCTCCTTCGTCTTCTTGTCCTTCTCCTGCCGTGCCTTCTCTTCCTCGAAAGACATCCTCAGCGCCAATGCGAGCTCGGGGTCGACCGATGGATCCACGCCGAACTCGAAGTCGTTGCCGCCGGAAGCACCGCCGCCTCCGCCTCCGGAACCGCTGTCTCCACCACCGCTGGATGCACCCTCCCCGCCAACTATAGGTGTAGTAATCAACGAATCGCTGAGCAGGTTCGCGCTGGGTGGAATGGTGGCGAGGTAGGAGCCTTCGGCGCTCTGTACGTTGTCGCTAAAGGCTTGGAGTTTCCGCGTGGTGTCGTCGCTCAGCTCGCCGAATGCGATGATGTCGATGCTGATACCGCTCTTCTTCATCTTCTTTGCCAGCTTGACCAGGTTCTTCTCGTCCTCCTCGATGGGGCTGCAGTTGAACATGACTATCCGCTGCTTCTGCGACTTGTTCTGTCTGTGCTTGAGAGCCAACTGCATGTACTGTTAGTTTGCATCCTACCAGAGGTTCCTGATAACGTACAGCCGCGACGTTGATGCCAGTCACGAAGTGTGAGCTGCCCTTTATCTTTGTCCGGTGCAGACCGTCCAACACCTTGCCAATGTCCGTTGTCAGGGTCGTGAGGATCTCCGGGGTGTTGCCTCCCATGCTCATGAGACCGACAGATGACTCTGGGTTTGCACCAGTCTTTGCGGAGAAGATCATGTTCACGGCGTCCTGTTGTGCTTCCCACCGCGAGGGTACATAATCGCCATTTCGACTAGCTTCGCTGTTGTCAACGCTGCTGAGGTTAGTATGCGGTCGATGTGTGAGTGCATATGGCCTTACACTATCATAGAAGCTTCTAACACCATCTTGAAGACCGGATGTGTGTGGGGTTGAGGTGATTGTTTGGGTAGTTGGTTGGATCGACGGCAACCTTGTGATGCTGAGCTCAGGTCGCCGCAGCGGAGGACGGAGGCTGGCCATGGGAACCACCGGGATCACGTGAGGTGTGACCGCGCCTGCGGGAGGCCGTGCGCGTGTCGGAGGAGAAATGACTCAGACGGTATCTGCAACATCTAGAAACTTACTCGTGCATTTCAACATCGAATATTGCGACTCCAATTCTAAAGCGCTGCGCTGCAGTTGTTGCTGCGCAGATTGCTATCCTGTACTTTGGTGTTCTCTCTTGTCTTGCGACCAACCTCGATGTAGCAAGCGTACTGCTTAGGCCGTGACGTCGCCCTTGGCGCTGGCGTAAAGGACAGACCTGCGGGCTCCAACGTTCCTTCCTCCAACATCCCACTCTGATTCAGCAGCTGCAACCACCACCACCCGCAACCACATCAAATCTGCTCCAAATCTCTCAAAAGTTGTTGCAAAAGCATCAGAAAGTCTCAATAAGTCACTTATACCACTCAAATCCTCTCCCCAGTATCATCGTCGCGGCTTGCCTCGCGTTGTTTACTGTTCTCCACCACCACAACATTTGGAAGCTGCAACCCTCTTTCACCACCCCCACACCCGAGCCTCTCAAGATCAATATCAGATCTTTGAAAGTCTCAGCAGCTCTTCTCTACTAGCTGGTACTCTCCGGCACTTCACAATAACATCGCCGCCGCCGACGCGTCACACATCACACAACACGCGATGAACAACATCAAGGACGGCATCACAGCTGAGGCGAAAGCCAACATGCTAGCCAACCTCCAGATCGAGCTCGACTCGCGCAAAGAGAAGCTACGAGCGCAGTGCGACGCGCAGTGTGCCAGCATGCAGTCGCGTCTCGAGCGTCGCGTCAACCGCATCCCGACCGTGACGCGCCAAACCACGCTACTAGACCTCCTCAAGGCATCCGCGCCTGCACAACCAGTCGCGACCGCGACCGCGCCAGCACCAATCAAGACTGCGCCACCCAAGAAGACATCAGCGCCAGCGCCAGCACCTGCCTCCCGCAAGACACGCGCGGCTCCCACAAACTCTATCCCAACAAGCTCCTCAGCGCCCGCGACTTCCTCCCCAGATACCAGGCGTGCAAAGCCTGCCGCCAAGGCCAAGCCCACACCGACATACGCTCAGCCAACAAAGACCACACGCGCCAAGAAGCGCAGCAGCGACGAATTGTCTGGCGAGGACAAGGAAAATGCAGACCTACCTGTACCAAAGAAGCGCGCTAGGGCACCCACTCAGAAATCGGCGCCTGCTGCTGCTGCCCCAACTACGCGCGCAACCCGCGCTGCTTCCCGCACAAAGACAACCACTTCGTCTCATGTGCTATCACCAAAGACCAACACGGCCAACGTCAGGAAGCCAGCTGCTCGTAGCGCCCGCCCCAGGTAGCGCCCATAGACGGAAACGACTACTCAGCATTTTTTCGGCGTTAGATACCCCATTCGTTTTCAGGCGGCGTTAGATGAGATGGTATGATTTTGTTTTGATTGGAGGAAGTTGGTCGTTTTGGTTGTTGTTCCCCTCCACCCTGGCTTGACGGCCCCTTGAGTTCCAGCCGCCCGAAAGGGCAGGCTCTCAGGGGCTGAAGATAGCCGGGTGGGGGCATACATTGTAGGATTGTCTTGTTTTTTTGTAAATGTTCTTTGGAATTGGTCGTTTTTGTAGTTTTGTATGGCAAAGAGCTTCACGTAGCCTAGGAATGATGAGTTATGATCTTGATTCTGCACCCAGAAAAATCTGCGTTGAAGAATACGTTACGTTGAGGACCACCTAGTTGATGGAGTTTAATACAGTGTATGCGGCAAACCTACTGCAACGCTGTCGTCGCTTGGTGGTGCCTGATGTATACTTGACCTTGGACCCTATGCATTCGGCGATATATACCACGATGTATGCGGTAACCCAACGTGTATATTTGTATTCATTGGTACTGCCAGGAGTATACATCAACTTGGGTACTGTTTAGTTCTTCAAGTTCAACACAATGTATGCGGCAATCCCAACTAGCTACTGCCGTTGATCGGGGTTGCCAGAAGTATACTTGACCTTGGATACCATGCATTCGCCGATATATAACACTGTGTATGCGGCAACTTGACGTTGATATTAGCGTCTGCCAGTGCTGCAGGGAGCATACATTATCCTAGATACCCTCTATTTGTTGACTTTCAATACTATGTATGCGGTAGTCCGATGTGGATACTGCCGTTAATCGGGGCTGCCAGACGTATACATTGCTCTGGAAACCGCTTAATTGTTGAGAGTGAAGAGCACGTATGCTGCAACCCAGCGGCTATGCCTTTCTCCGTTGGTACTACCAGATGTATACATCAGCTTCGATACTGCGTACTTGTCCATGTTTGATACCGTGTATGCGGTAACATGATTTGGGTTCTAGCACACGCTGATGTTGTTCGCAAGAAGTGTTTAGGGGAAGGCGTGTATCACTTCATAGTTTGAAGCATACATCACCCTGGATTCCTTCTACTGGTCAAGATTTAGTACTGTGTAAGCAGCAACGCTGCACGTATTCTTGTATCGACTAATGCCACTGACGTGAAACGTATGAAGAAGCCCCATTGCTATACTCCGGGTTGAGATATACATTGTCCTGGCGCCTTTCCACTTGTTGAGCTTTACTACCATGTATGCAGCAACACTGCCTGGATTTCGCCATCTATCAGTGCCATTTGCAAGATCTATTGAAGAAGCCCAGCATGTGTTATCCATGTTGAAGCATACATGATCTTCATTGCCGTTCACTTCTCGAAAACAAACACCGTGTATGCAGCAACGGCGCCTGAGTTTTGTCATCCTCAGAGCGTACCCCATGGACCAGAACCTACCGTGAAGGATAGACGTTGAGCGTCTTATCCAAGTTACATAACAGAGTATCATGTATACATATGGGATACATGTGGATAGACAGGTACATTTGATAAAGACTCGTCTTCACATAGGTACCAAAGCCCCGTCCAAATCCACCTTTAATCCCACTTCATAACCGCCTCCTCAACAATCGGCCTAATAACCTTCCTACCCGCGCTACTCTTGTGCGTCCACACCATCTGCCTAGGCGCCAACTGATCCGCACGGTGCCACGGCTGGAAATCAACACCCTCCTCGTTGTTCTCCAACGCCTCCTTGACGGTTTTGAAGAGCGAGTCGGCTTGGTCTTGGTCGATACGGACGTCGTCGCGGACGGTGAGGACGACTTCGCGGATCTTCTCCTTCTCGCCGTCTTTGTAGTGCTTCTTGTACTTGTTGAGCGTGATGGAGATGTCGACGCCGGCTTCGGCGGTCCAGGCGGCGTGCACGGCGAACCAGTCTGGGGCGTGTTAGTTGAGTTGCGCTCCGAGAGTAGATTGAGAAGGGAGTCAAGACTTACCAAAGAGTTCCGCAAAGTCCGTCTTGAGAATCTGCTCATCCATGGAGTATGGGATTGAGGCGAAGCCAATGCTCACGGTAGGAGTGCGCGGGGAGGGGGTATCAATGATGTCGCCCTTCCAGTCTCGGCGCAACAGGTCGCGCAGACCAAGGTTGTCAATGTCCTTTTGTGCCTTGCTGAGCTCGTCGTCGAGGTCCTCCATGACGTCTTCGAGACTGTCCTTTTTCCAGTTGCTGCGTGCGAGGACGCGCTTGGAGACTTCAATGTCGGTCTTGGTCGTCTTCTTGCCTGACAAGCCGCCGGAGTCAATGGCAATGGCGCTGAGGACTAGCTCGAGCAGTTCGTGCGGCATGTGGTATTCTTCGTCTAATTTCTCGAGCTCATCGAGCATCTGGCGGGCCACGAGCGTAGTGCAGCTTGCTGCTACTTCGAAGACACGGGGTTCGGCATCAGGAGCAGTACCGCGGTCTTTGTGGTGGTCGAAGATGCTGAGGATCTTTGCCTCGTTCCACTTTCGTAGAGGGCTGCCATGGTCGACCAGGACGATGCCCTTAAGCTTCTTGCCTAGAGTCTCGGGGTCCTCAGGCAGCTCATCCAGCGTCAACAAGTCTTCATGGCCAGGCGTCATCTGCGAATTGTCGAGGGCCAGCCTGTTCTCCGGTCGCAGATCAAGCGCGTGCGACGGTGTCTGAAGGAGTGCAATGGCCTTCATAGGCTTGTCAGTGTGTTCGGTGGAGTGTTCAAGATGGTAGGCCCAAGTGAGCGCCGCGGTCATGGAGTCCATATCACCGCCCTCATTGCCCATTACCATCGTCCACTCATCCTCCCTGCCGGCCTGCCAGTCTACCAAGAAATCCTTCTTTGTGGCACGGCTCCATTCGCTGAAGTGGCCTACACCAAGTGGTTTGGCGAGATGCTTCGTCGACGCGTCGAGAATAGCTTGTTGCGGCGCGCTGCGCTGCGGCATGGCAGCGACGCGGCTGGCTGCCAGAAAGGCTGGAACAAGGGCGCGTGCCGCTTTCATTTTGGAGAGATGAATGCGATAACGATGCTATAGGTATAGATTATTGTGAATGTCGGAAGGCATCAAGGCTCAGGTACGGATGCGCAGCTGGGATCCACAGCTACGTCAACGCTGGCCTAGGCGCGACCAGCTGGGCCGTGTTTCAGCCCTGTGGCTGTGAGTCCAGACGCTGCTCCCCCAAACCGGCCTGCAAGCGACATTTGACATTTGTTGAGTTCGACCAGGGTGGCATAACAATAATGCATGTCTCCAAAGCCCACTGTTTCTGCGCACAACTGGCAGAGTCTGCGCAGTGCGACGAATTGCTTCTTGGGGGCTCCTCTGCAGAGACTGTGGCTGCAGCGACAGCGACGTGCAGGGCTCATATGACCAAGCATTGGGCGTCAGCCATGCTTAGTCCATCCTTCTCATGCAGGTGTCAGCAACCCCAGATATGTCTGCAGTTGAAAAGATGTGAGGTATGACGTCAGAGCTGATTGCTGGAGGGATGGCCTGCAGCCACTCGGATCCTCAACGAAGCCGCCCTAGCCGAAGCACTACCACGCGGCTGGTTGACAACCCGCGCGTGCAAGGAAAGCTTGACTGTGTTTTCCAAGACCCCTCTCACGCTCCTATTCCTCAAACCCGTTATTATCGCCGTGCCAACGCGCCGCTTTCCTATCACGGCGCGCTCCTAACCCTGTTCTCACGACGGATTGCGGAGACAGGCTGCTGACTGAACAATGAACTAATTGCGTCGGTCGCGGCCGGATCGCTCGCTGCACGCTTAGCAAGACACTACTTGACCCCAACGCCGCACTCTCGCCCAAACTGCTTCCTTTCCTGGGGCATTCTCGTCGCAACCGCTGCAATTATGGATCAAGGCCCACACGAGCAGGGACGACCGTTGGCGTCGTCGTCAACTTCGACCACCACTACCTCTGGCCCCTACACTACCACCACCACGACATCCACCGCACCCGGACAGGGAACGAGCGTGCACCATTTTGGGCCCCAGTCGACCACTATCACACACCCTGCCGTCACCACAACGACCTACACGCCGTCCGCTCAACCCTCTCAACCACACGCGCCTACCTCAAATCCCATCCAGCGCTTGCGTAGTTCGTCGATTCGCATAAGAAGACCCTCACATCAGCCAAGCGTAAATACTCCCCAACCCACACCTGACCCAGCGCCAGTACCGGGATCCGACAGCACATGGCAAGCCGGCCGAAGACGAAGTAGTTCCGAACCGCGCCCACCTCCAGCGGCCATGGTCGCCGACGATAGCCTAAGACGTCAATTAACGGGCCCCCATCTACAGCCTCTATATGAAGACGGCACGGCGACAGCAAACCCTGCTATCGGCAATGGTCCGCCGACTGCCAGCAATGCACGAAGAGGGATGACTCGCCAGTCCTCCGCTTTCCACATGCGGCGGCATCAGAAGGACCCAAACCAGAACATGATGGGCAACAATGTTGTCGATGTGCTTGATGTCATCGGTACGTAACCCCAGAGTATGCTACATTGGGGTATCGGCTAACAAAGTCTAGACCCCGAGATATCTGCCCTCACTACACTGAATAACGTTCAGAACTCGCTGTTCTTGCCCAATCTACCCTGGCTCTACAACCGCCAGCCCACATACGATCTTGGGCAGACTACATCAGACTCCTCGGACGAAGAGATGGGCACGGCTAGAGGGGCCAGACGCGAGGAAGATCAACTCCCTGAGATGACACAACAAGGCGAAGTAGAACAAGCCGCACGCGGAGGCCGTGGAGAATTGCGAAGAAATAACACCATCGACTCCAATCTTTCGACTCTGGAGGAAGGTGCTGGCCATCACTACGCCGTGCTGCCACATGGTGCTTCATTGACAGGATGGACCGACGAGGAGAAGGAGGCTCTGGACGACCACGTACGGCATCTTCTCCACTCCCGACGCGCAAGATTCAAGCGGAGTATGAAGGGGTTTGGACGTTATGTTCG